TATTGGAACAGGAGGGATATTCTACAGGGAGCTGTATACTTAAAGCCTTATCCCTTTGACCCACATAAAGAGAATGCGCACCAATTGGAGCTTTTCATCTGCATGGCTTGGGAGGGGCTGAGAGTTTCCCTGCTCATGGGTTGAGTGCACAACTTTGTCTGCTCAGCTTCTACTGAGTTTATAACATAGCAAGCTCGTTTTCAGTCTCGTTGTTTTCAGAGAAGATGGAGAAATCTTGTGGATAGCGATGATTTGGTTTAAAATAATAATACAGGAGGGAAGAATGTTCTGTCATTTTTTTTCTTCCCTCTATACCTTTATCCTGAAGATATTTGAGCAGGTTTGCTGGCAATCTAATGTCTAATGCAACTGAAGAGAGCACAGGGAAAGAGGCAAATACCTTGCACACCTTTATTCAAAATCAGGTCCTGGTTTATGAAATATTTGTACGACTGAGTTTTATTAGAAATGCTTCAATGGCAGAATAGTTTTACTGAATCAGCTGACGCCAGCTCCATATGGTGGAAATGTCACGATGCATGCATAGTATTTTTGACATCATTCTAAATTTCCACTATTTCTCTGTCGTTCCTGAAATATGCAGCTCTCATAAATGGAAAGATGTGCAGTGTAAAATTTGCAAATATCTCAAACATTCCTTACTGTAGTATTTTTTTTCACCACTATTGATCATTGTCTTCTAATTGCTCAGTTTGATTATTTTTATTCTTCTGTGTATATATATTTTCTGTTTTTAACTAAGAGTAGCATAAGTGCCAGATCCTCAAATAGCAGCAACCCAGCCACGCACCTGAGTTTTTGAACAATTCTACTTTAAAAAAAAAAAAGTGAATTTGCCTGTTTGGATTAAATCTTACCTTTCCCCCTCTGATTTGGGTTTCTACTCCCCCACATTGTGCATAATTATTCCCAGCCAAAAATCCAGATGGCTAAATAGCAATTTCATGTAAATGAGGTGGAAAAGCTGTGTCTGCCACTGTCTAAATTATTCAAAAATAGTCTTGTGGAAGGTAGCAAATATCTGGTCAGAAGATGCACCCTGTTTTCAGCGGGGGAAAGAGATTTAATTTGAAATATTATAAGAGAAGTAAAACAAGTTATACAGTATCAAAGATATGTATCTAGAATTGATGATAAGCAAAGGGCGTTATCAGCAGTAGGATTTTGGGAAAGGAACTAATTACAGAAAGGCTGGAAACAGTATCTTGCAACATCCTTGCATTGTTTTTAAAGAGACAGGTGTCGTTGCTTCAAGACTTAGACAGTGGCTTCCTTTGGGGAGCCCCTCTTGACAAGCTAGGTCTTAGCAAACTGTACCTAGTAGGGAACCTGCAGATCCCATGTATTCTTGCAATGCTTTGTTCCTCCCCTTGCTTCCCTACTGCCAGCAGTGTGACTCCTGGTTTTTCTTATTATCATTAAACTATAGGCAATCATTCAGGGCCATTGCTTGGTCAATCTGTTCCTCCTTTATGGGTTGATTTAAAAAAAAAAACAGCTGAGAATGTCCTGAAGTCAGTAGGAGAAGGTTTATTTCACCGGATGAAAATAGCAAAAGAAGCTAAAATACATAAAAAGAGATAATTGGGATCATTAAACTTTGCCATCAGAATGACAGTCACTGCCATATCCATTGTATGTCTAAAAAAGGCCAGCTCAAGAGATTTTCATCCTAGGTATACCATCGAGTGCATTTAAATCCAATGTGAGATGGTTGGCCTACATTAAAGCTGCAGCATTTTAAATAGTGATCTCAGTAAAATGAAATGATCCTCAGAACTGACTCATTCTATTGGACAAGCTAAATACCCAGTATTTGATATTTACCCGGTAATATTATTACATAAACGTGAATAGGGACCATTGAGGGGTCAGGGCTCTGGGCTCCAGCATGTTAGCAGCTACCCAAACAATGTGCGCCAAAGAATTTACAGTGTCGTAAACCACATGAAACAACTTGGAGGACGAGGCAACAGTGAAACAAGCCTTTTTAGCTCAGTGAGTATTGTGCTATGTTAGTGGGGCATGACCGGAGATCACTCAATAGTCATGTGGGCCTATCATAAGTTATTGGATGCTAAACACAAATTAGAGGTGGCTAACACCCGTTCAAAGATATTAATGATTATTAGGTATTTACTAACAAATCCCGTTTGGTATTAATACATCCCATCCCATTCAAGAGGAGGAATTCTGATCAAAGGAAGGAAATCAAAGTGATGGCAGGGAATATTGGTCAGCAGTAAAAGAGAAAATCCCATTTGAATCCTGTAGAAGCCCAAAGGGTAGCAATAAATCTCTTCAATAACATTAAGTTCTGTGCAATAGGAAATCAACAGGGACAAACCTCTATTTGATATGAATAAGACACTGACAAGCATCCCTCACGGGGACATTATTAACCCATAAGAGAAGAGCAACAAATTAAGAGGCAAGGCTAAAAACAGCTCACCCTATAACACACATCCGTTACCCTTCACAATCCATTTTACAATCTGCTCTTGGACTGTCTCCAGAGTCTGACACTTTCTAGACTCCCCTCTTACCATCCATGCCACTGAATAAAAAAACATTCTCCTGGACTCGATTTCTGCTTCCTGTTGCTGTAGGCCAGAGGTCTGTAATCTCTGCAGAACATTTTGCCAACTGTCTGATATCTTCGCACAAAAGAGCCACCCGAGGAGCATATATGACACAGAATCATAGAAATTAGAGAGAAGACCAGTTAGGTGATTTATCCACCCTTCCTTGCTGACTCTGGATTGCTCCCTACAGTATATTGTACCGGGTTTTATCTGTTGTGATTAACTGATTTAATGACACTCCCACCACATTCCTGAGCAGGTGTCTCCAGAGTCTCATAGATGACACTATTAGCAAACATTTCATCATAATCTGCCTGAACTGAGTTTGGTATGTCTTTTGGTATGAACTTTTAGGGTATGTCTACACTGCAGGTGAAGGTATGTTGTAGCACAGGTGGGCACATCATTCTAGCTTTAATCTTGCAAGCATAGTGAACAATAGTAGCGAAGGTGTGACTGTATGGGCTAGCAACCAGAGAATGTACCCAGGATCCTTGGTGGGTTTGTACTCTGGGTTAGCCTGTGTCGCCTTGTCTACACTCCTGTTGCTAGCTTCAGTCTAGCTAACACAAGTATGACTACACATGCTGCAGTCACACCTTCACTTGCACTATAGACATTCCCTACATTATACTTGTTTTGGCCACCTGAACAAATCCCACTTTGTACAGTAAACTGGGTAGAATTTTATATGGGCTCTGAGCAACCAGCACTTCCCTCTCTCTGTGTAGGCTACAGCAGAGAAGTTCTGAGCAGGGTCTTGGAGGAGGATTAGGAGGTGGCTTATGGTTTTTGGGAGCTTTTCCCACTCGAAAAGAGACATCATGGGAGAAAGCTTAAAGGTTCTTGTGGGGGGAAGTGGACAAGCAGATCTAAACTGTCATGATGGACTGAAGGTGGGAGTAGACCATGCAATAAGATAATAGGTTGGATAGAAAGGGTGGGGCTAGCTTATAGAGGACTATAGAGGTTATGGCAAGAAGTTTGTGATGAATGCAGTGGAGGAGGAGGAGCCAAGGGAGAGACTTAGAACAGAGTGGCATAGTGACTGGCTGGGGAGATATTAGCAGCAGCACAGAACTTGAGGGTGTTGAGGAGCCAGGCATAGAGGCCTGAGAGAGCAGGAGACTGCAGTAGCTAGCTAGCTGCCAAACAATCCAGCCACGGGTGAGAGTTTTGGTTCTCTGAGATGTGTAGGGAAAAGTGCCAAGATTTAGATTGTGTTTCGATATGTGAATCAGAAATGAGGACAGTGTCACAAAAGAAGCGGAGACTACAGAATTGAGCACCGGAGAGGAGGAGGGCACTTTCTACCAGGATAGAGAAAGATGTGGTAGGGAGGAGGGCTTGGGGAGATAGATCAGGAGCTCAGTTTTGACCAGGGTAAGTGTCAAGTGCCAGCTACACATTGATGCAGAAATGTCAAGACAGGCCAAGATTTTAGTTTGGAAGGAGGGAGACAAATCCCAAATAGTGACTTTTGAAAAGAAGGGTTTGGGGGGAATAGCAAATACCAGTTGAGCATGAGAGGGATGCTTTGGGTAAGAGGGCAAACTCGATCCTTGGCTGTATAAGCATGGGAACTTGAGGTAGGGATAGGGAGGTGGTGTGACCTCTGTACATGGCAGTGGTGAGACCATTACTGGATACTGCATCCAGTTTTGGTGTCCATACCTCAAGAACAGGTTCAGAAAAAGAGTTTTAAGAGTGATTTGAGGTCTGGAAAACTTGCCATCTTTTGAAAGACTAAAGCAGCTCAAGCTATTTAATTTATCCAAGAGATGGTTACATGGTGACTTGATCATGGTCTAGGAGTACCTACATAGGAGAAGAGATTTCTGCTAGTAAATGGTTCTTTGATCTAACAGCCAGAGGCAAAGGAGAAGGCCAAAAATGGAGGGATCCACACTCAGAGAGAGAGAAAAGACCTACCAAACGAGACATTGATACACAGGAATAACGTATTAATCTGTGGTTTCAGAGTAGCAGCTGTGTTAGTCTGTATCCGCAAAAAGAAAAGGAGTACTTGTGGCACCTTAGAAACTAACAAATTTATTTGAGCATAAGCTTTCGCGAACTAGGCATCAGTTCATGCTATCACAAAGAGTTCTTGTGGGGGATATTTTAATTAAACCCAACTTGTTTCCAACCTAGTAAATCGACTGCTGCATAATTCCACCCTTGTGTTGATTTCAGAGAGATCCTCAGTGAGAAGTCATTCTAAAGGAGAAGTCATTGGGCATTTCTGTTAGATTTTTGTTTGTGTTGATGGCACTGCTCTTTTCACTTTAGGAAAGGCACCATGAAGTGTTCCTAAACAGTAACAGATTGCTGTGTGAACACAAGGACAAATACACAGGGAGTAAAGATCTCCTTTTAGACTGGAATACTAACCAGCTGCACCTCCTCCATGCCGAGTAGCTCTTTCCTGACTCTGTGATGAACACTTAGGTTCTCCGCTGTGCCCATTTTCCCCCACTCTCCATTTCTCTTCCTCTTCTCAGCTCATTTATCAGATACACCAGGAAACCTCTCAGTGAACCATGCTGTTTCCTCACACCATTCTGTTCATTCTACCTGTAAAGGAGCACATTTGGCACAGATGTGAAAACTATGGTTTGGTGTAACAGTGCTACAGACAGATCCAGGAGGGTTGGAGCTGTGAAGTGTGTGCGTGTGTGTGTGTGTGTGTGTGTGTGTGTGTTTTCAAGTGGAATATGGAAAATGATTTTAAATGAATATTTGTTATATTTTAGGAACATACTATGCAGAGCATGCGTGTGTGACATTTATAATGCACGTGGCCTTCTGTTCTGGGCCAACCATGGGGCAATCTTCTACAGACAATGGGTCAGAGTTTAAGGAGTGGCTGCACAAATGTCTGCGAAGCTGTTGGGGTGGGGAGCTCTGCCTCAGCTCTGATGGCAGGCAAGCCAAGGGCTGGGCTAAAGGCTGAGTGAGAGGGAAAAGATTGCCCAGTAGCTAGGGTGCTGGCCAGGGAGTTGGGAGACCCAAGTTCAGTTTCGTGTTTTGCCACAGACTTCCTGTGTGACCTTGGCGAAATCCCTTAGTCTCTCTGTGCCTCAGTGCTGCATCTTTATAGCAGGGATATTGGCAGTGTGCTGAGGATAAATCCAGTAAAGAGTATGAGCTGCTCAGGTACGACAGTGAGCAGAGATCATCAGTATCTGTCCTTATGAAGAACCAGTGTTGGGGAACCCCCTACAGGAGGGGAGTGAGAGGCAGTTGCCGCTTCTCCAACCCTTAGACTGAACTTATGTCCAAGGAGCGTTCTCACCCTGCAGCCTACCTGTAAATTGTGGATAAACTGCATGTCCCCCATCTAGCCCTATTTGATCCTTTGCACAGGGCCCATTTACTGTGTTTGGGTCTGTGCTGGGAGGAGTGAATTTCACTTATTCACATTTGATGAAACTATATGTAGACACAATGAACATCAAAATGTACTCGGTGCGACCTGGTAGCTGTGGAATAAGCTAGGGGGTCTCCGTTCAGCAGACAGTTGCGAACTTTGGAAAAACCACCAACAAAAGAGGCCGCCGGAGAGAGTCTCGGAGCAAAGGCCACCTCGCCCCATTGGTGGAACTGTATGGAGAAGGTTTCTCATGCTGTACCTGCCCTGCAGACAAACAAGGGACCTTGACTTCCAGTGCTATCAGTGTGATGGGGGATGAAATGGAGGTGGCAATGGGAAAGGAAGGGTCCAACACGGAGGGAGGCCCTGTGGGAGGTAGGATCTGTCTGTTGTGGTCCTGAGATTTTGGTGGCTCTGTGCCCTGATTAGGCTTAATTCATCCCCAAAAGTATCGTCGTTCTGCATTTTTCACACAATCCAGGTACTTATGATCATCTTGAAGGAAAAATAGCATCAAGCTGCGGATTTCTTTCCACTGTTCTTGGGCTATTGAGCAAAACTTCTCATGAAGCCATTAGAGAAAAATCACTTCCCACTGCAACCAAATTAAGGACATTTCTGATTTCAGGGACAGATTCTAACCACAGTTATCCCTATGGAAATCTGGAGTAAATCCATTTAAATCAATGGACATACTGTGAATTTACAGCAGTGTAGAGGTCGCCAGAATCTGTCTCTAAGATCTCAAACAATATTATACTGGTTGCATGGCTGTACAATGCAGACAACTTTCAACATATAAATATTAAGTTTCTTAGGACACTCTTGTAGTTTTAAAACATTCACACAACCTGTTTGTCAGAGTGTGCCACCTAAGTCATCTGATGCTGGTGGGTTCCATTAGTGACCGCTGGCCAAATGCCTTTTGGGTTTGACGAGCATGCATGTCTGTGTGAGTGTGTCATTGCTCAAGGAGCTCATCCATTAAATGGCTCCCTAATAAGGCAGGTACCTCTTTCTCTCTGGAGTTCCATGCAGCTACCGAAGCTACTGTGTTGCTAAAAAGCACAGTGGTGAAGGCAGTGGAGGTAAAATCTGTTAGATACGTGACTCCGAACCTGGACTGTGCTCATGCTGCTTACAGGAAGAGAATGATGGGTTTATTAGCAATAGCTGTCTTCACTACTCACGGAGGGCCCATTCTGGGTGCTGGCACAAGTGAGTAGGGTATGTCACCCCCTTATTCTCTTGTGCAGGGGTGACACCACAGCTTCCTGTGTGCAGGGGGGAAGCAGTCTGCATGGACCCATTATGCCCCCGCATTGTGAAGATGGGAGGGGACTTGGTGGGGCTGAGTCAAGGCTCCGCCCCATGCCTTGTGGTGCAGTTACTGTTGCATTTGTGAGCCTGCCCGGCACTGGGTATATGCCTATCACAATTTACTCCCTCCTCAGAGTAGCAGGGAGATTGTGACTGCTTACACAGCGATGTGCTACCTCTTGCTGAAGGAAGATCCCAGATTGGTGTCCAGCCTTAAGAAAAGCTGCAGTCTTCATTTCTGGTTAAATTACGGCTTTTCTGTAAGCCCTGAGGGAGCATACCAGGAACCAGATTATGATTTAGAGCCACAGTCTGATCCCCAGTTTTCCCCCTTGCTGTTGTAGGAGTATGTATTCTGTGGAGGTAGGTAATCTGGGCCAGCCATATACCTGGTGCAGATTGCTTCCCCAGCTGGATGTGGGGCAGGGGCAGCCATTTCCTACCTGCTCCCTGCCCATTGCAAGAGGGGAAAATCAGTCCTCATCGAGGCTGCTCTCTTCTGCTGTTTCTGATGATATAAGCAGTGAGAATTGGTATGTAAGAGAACACTTCAAACCCTGCTACTCCCGTGCATGGGTGTGAGCAATGCTCACAATCTGGCCCATAAGTAGTGTTCCATGTTTTCAGTTTTTATTTGTTTTAAAAAAATTACAGAAATTTTTCAGTGTTTATTTTCCAAACATTCCAAAAATCAGGGGAAATTACGGGGAAAAAGAAAAACTTTTGTAATATACACATTTGAAACTTTTTTTAATGTACATATTGTGTCTCTCTCAAAGCTAGTAGTTTTTCCAGAAATCCTGGTTTGCATACAGTCGCAAAATTTTCTTCAAAGTATGCTGAGCCTCTTGCTGTCTTGGAGGTAGTCCAACTTCAAAAAATATTCACTCTACATCAATACATCCAGGGCGTATACTCCAAGCTCACTGTGCCACTTTGCTGAAGTCAGAAAGTGTGTCTTGATGACCGTTCCAAAAAGCCAGCACATCCAGTTTCACATTGGCAGGGTTAGGCAAGTTCGTGTAAGTAGTATATTCCCCTTTCAGATCTGAAATTTCATCTCTAGTGGCAAATGGTTGAAACACTCTGGAATAATGGTTGTAGTCTGCTGCAAAATTCACCTTGAGGTGAAACACCTGGATGACATTCCAGAAAGAATCTTCGGCACCAAATACTTTGGGGTTCAGATTATGGGTCATGGTTGTCTCCCATTTTTCGCTGAGCGTTGTGTTTAAAGGTTTAGAATTTTTTTTTGTTTTCTCATGTTCCGGGGTGAAAAGGATTTCCAGATACAGTTGGGTTTTCTCATATGTTTCTCCTGCAGCTTTTGTTCTCAATTCAGCTGAGATTTTGGTTGTCAGGATCCAGTAAAGTCTGTATTGGCAACCATATTGGCAGTGGTCTGCGAAGATTCCACTGTTTTCTGTGTGCCATGTAGATTCCAAGTTTTTAACAATGAACATAAGCTCAGTATGCAGAATCTGACAGTCATTCTGGTTATTTGCCAGTCTCTTCAGAGTTTCTGCTTTAGAACCAACAAACTCAAGATGATCTAGGAGACTCATTAGTACAGTCCACGTGTTATTTACATGGCAGGGAGCAAAGTACAAGCTCATCCACCAATGTGGCACAACAGGGGTAGGTAATCAGCAGTTAGCTCTGGACTCGTCTCACACTGTGTAAAACAAAGCCTTCAACTTGTTTTGCGTGATTGAAAATGGCCCTTAATCCAATGATACAAGATTTCTCGTCTTTCATTTCTTCTGTAGCAGTAGCTGCTGACAGCGCAATGTTAATCAGATGAGCAGGACAGGACTGAGTTTAATCTTCCAGGAAAACTCAGCTATGAAGGAAGCAGAATCTGTGTTAGTTGTGGCCACATTTTTCCCAAGTTAGTTGGTACACCTCAAACCTGTCAGTTATTGACGTGTCAACAAAACGGGTGTCAGCAGAGGGAATGAATGTCACGTCAGCACAAAACAGTGCAGTTTTATTCACTTTGAAATAAAAAAATAAAACAAAAGGCCAAGAATCGGACGGTCCAAAGCATCAGGAGACTTGTCAAAAATCAGACTAGACGCCACATTTCCATCAATTCGTTCCATCAGTTTAGATACTAAAGCATTGCCATTTTCTTTCAGATACTTATGAGTGAGGTTGTCTGCATTAGGAAGGGGTTTTCCTGTTGGACAGTATTGCCGGACAAAGTCACCAGTAGGCCCTGCAGTTAACAGTGGTTGTCTGCGAAACAAAGATCATGCAAAAATTCATTAACGCAATCGTGCTATGTCCTCTCTTTCATTAAACCCCTGGCGAAAGCTCCTGATATTGACTGCTTAGCCCAAAGCTCACTTTCTTCCTTAAGCCTCTAGTGTTGCTTGCTTTTGACGTGCTCCTTTGTTCTGTCAGCTTAATACTCAATGCCGCAGAACTTGCGGTGCAATGCATCCTCTTCATTCCCATCTTTACTTTCCCTGAAGATTTCTAAGCACCGATTTTCTTGTTGGTATTAGGCCTAGATTTGCATTTTCACCCCATGTTTACCTTTTTACCTTATCTTATCTGTAGAGGATTGATTGATTAAATTCAGCACTGCACTAAACGGCTGCAAAGAAGTAGGGGGTCAGCGTCTCCTTATAAGCCAGTCATAGCGCAATATTAACATGGTTTGATTTTTTTTCCCAACCTCCACCTTGTGTGTGTTCTGTTTTTTACACTGAGACACTGCTTCAGTCTCAGAGCTCCGGGACACAACAATCGTGTAAAGCATCAGTGCTTAACAAAAATAAGTACCCGGAAAAAAGAGTGGAGTAAATCAGTAAAAACAGAACTCATTTCATTAAAAAAAAACCCTGGTAATTTATCAGTGAAAATCGGTAAA